GACTCTGGTTCTTTCACAGCTCCAGGTCTTATTGTCTCACTTGGGGGGAAAAAAACCAGTATAATAAAAAAAAATATATAGATATAGATATAGGAACTTCTGGCCAAGATGGAGGCATAAGTGGAAATACTGTACCTGCTCACAAAACCAAATTTAAGGACAACAAAGATTTAGAAACAAAAACGCAACCAGAACAGACAGAAAATTGAACTGTACTAAAGTCCAACAACAATGAACCATTCATCCAGACCAATAAGAGGGGTGGAGTCAGTGGCCAGTGGAGAGGGGTCCTGGCAGGAAGAGGCAGTGGTTAGCAGAACCAGGTGTGGGGAGGAAACCAGGTGTGCAAGGTAGTTGGCTGACCATGGACACACATTCCTGCACAGATAAATCAGGCAAAAAAAAGGGCAGTGAGACAGACCACACAACCCAGGGCCTCAGTGACAGGAAATAAACCCTAAAAGCACCAACTGGAAAAACTTTTGGGGGCTGAGGTGCCAGGAGAGGTTCCCAGCCTCATAGGAGAGGGAATTTGTTGGAGAGACCCACAGGGTCCTTGAACGTACACAAGCACACCCACCTGGGAACCAACACCAGAAGAACCCAATTTGCTTGTAGGAAGCAACAGAAAGGGCCAAAATCTGAGAGAGAGCAGAGCAAGCACCATTGTTCCCTCCTGACCCTGCCCCCACATACAGCGTGCTAACCTAGTGACATGGGTTGCTTTCCCTGGTGAACATCTAAAGCTCCACCCCTCATACGTAACAGGTATGAACAGATCAAAAAATTATGGCCCAAACAGAAGAACAAATCAAAGCCCCAGAGCCAATACTTCTAAGTGCCCATACCAAGAGATAGCCAACCTAACAGATGCACAGTTCAAAACACCAATGATCAGGATGCTCACAGAATTGGTTGATTTTGATTGCAAATTAGGTGAAAATATGAAGGCTACCCTAAGTGAAATGAAGGAAAATGCACAGGGAACCAATAGTGAAGGAAAGGAAACTGGGACTCAAATCAATGGAGTGGACCAGAAGAAAGAAAGAAACAACCAAACAAAAGAAGAAAGAAACAAGAATTCAAAAAATAAGGAGAGGCTTAGGAACCTCCAGGACACCTTTAAACGTTCCAACATCAGAATTATAGAGGTACCAGAAGAAGAAGAGCAAGAAACTGAAAACTTATTTGAACAAATAATAAAGGAGAACTTCCCTAATCTGGCAAAGGAAATAGACTTTCAGGAAGTCCAGGAAGCTCAGAGTCTCAAAGAAGGTGGACCCAAGGAGGAACACACCAAGGCACATCATCATTACATTCATTACTCAAGATTAAAATGAAGGAGAGAATCCTAGAAGCAGCAAGAGATAAGGGGACAGTCACCTACAAAGGAGTTCCCATCAGACTGTCGACGGATTTCTCAAAAGAGACCTTACAGGCAAGAAGGGGCTGGAAAGAAGTATTCCAAGTCATGAAATCCAAAGACCTACATCCAAGATTGCTCTATCCAGCAAAGTTTTCATTTAAAATGTAAGGGCAGATAAAGTGCTTCTCAGATAAGGTCAAGTTCAAGGAATTTGTCATCACCAAGCCCTTATTATATGAAATGTTAAAGGGACTTATCTAAGAAAAAGAAGATAAAAAATATGAACAGTAAAAGAACAGCAAACTCACAGTTATTAACAACCCCACCTAAAAAAAGCAAACTAAGCAGACAGCTATATCAGGAGCGGAGCCACAGAAATCGAGATCACATGGAGGGTTAGCAACAGGAGAGTGGGGGGAGGAGAAGTGGGGAGAAGGTACAGGAGAATAAGTAGCATAGAGAGTGGGGAGAAAATAGATAGGGGGAGGGCAAGAGTAGTGTGGGAAATGTAGAAGCTAAAGAACTTATGACACATGGACATGAACTGAAGGGGGGAATGTGGGGGGAGGGGTGTGCAGGGTGGAGGGGAATGAAGGGAGGAAATGGGACAATTGTAAAAGCACAATCAATAAAATATATTTTTAAAATTCAATTAAAAAAACAAAGAAATTTTAAAAAGCTAATATAAAAATAAATAAATGTACACACACACACACATATTTAAAGCCTCCTGCTCACTTTAATTAGCAATAATCTCGCCTCGGACAAACCTCATTGCCTACGATACTGCCACTATGCAAAGCTAGCCTCCTGCTCACTTTAAACTGGCAAAGTGAGTTCTGCTGGTTTTCCTGGCTGTAGCAGGCTGAGGGGGTTGGGTTTTACGTATCTGCCTTCCTATTGTTTTGTGAGGATTGGGGCCAGGTCTGGGTTGCACTCTTCACAGTTGCCCAGCCTCCAACCCAGTTCCTCAGTTTGCTGTCAGGCCCCCAGTGCCCTTCTGCACCAAGCCTGTGCCTTCAGTCCACCAGTTGTGCTGTTCTTGAGGTGTACCAATTAGGGGAACTCACACACCACCCTCTTGCTCTTTGCTGTCCTAGATGCTAGGCACTGTCAAAGTCTCTTCAGGGTATTTGAGCTCCCCCACTGCATCAATTCTTTCTGGGGACTGCTAACTTCCTGAGTCTTGCTGTTCCTCTCTGGAGGGGTACACCTCCTATTTCTTCCTTGCCAGCCAGTCCCAAGGAGTGGGGGAGGGGGCACCACTATGGCTGCAGTGGCGGGGTGGGCACGCACCACTGCAGTGGCTGTTAGGGCACACCTGGCTTCCACTGCTGAGGTGGGGGTGCAGGGGCCTAGCTGTGGTCCCAGTGTCAGAGGTGGGAGCTCGGCTGAGGCTGAGGTGGCCAAGATGGGCAGTATGATTGATAAAGGGTGCAGCCAGGGGGGCCCCCCAAAAAAAGATCTAGAAAGGTGTCCAGAATTCAAAGTGTATAGAAATATTGGAGAGACATATAAGATGTCCTCACCCCTCCCCCCAGGGGGAAGAAACGAATGGAGCCAGGCCATTGAGAGCTGTTTTGCATAGCAACAGTTTTGGAGCTAACCTCTGGAATGATTATTTAACATATCTATAACCTTTAACTGGTTTCATAGATATGTTAAATAGCAGTGGCCAAGTTTGGAGCCAGGGAGAAGGTTGTGGCAGGGACTCAAGATGGGAACTAGGGGCTGCGCTCCTGAGTGAGAAGGCCTGTGTGAGAGCTTGAAAAAGACTGGCTCCAGGACATGAAGGGTCCCCGCTTGGCCAGATGAGAGAGAGCCACGCGGTTTCAGCAGAGTGAGGACCCCCTCTTGGTGAGGTGAAAGAGGGAGCCACGTGGTTTTGGCAGGGTGCGGACCCCCTCTTTCCCAGGTGAAAGGGAAAAACCACGCAGCTTTGCCAGAATGGAGATCCCTGCAGCCAGGTGAAGAAGACAGCCACATGCTTTTGGTGGAGTGCAGACTCCTGCAGCTTTGGTAGAAGAGGCCCATGCGGCTTTGGGGTGCCCCCTTTGGCCGCAGGGCCTGAAAAAGCAAGAGAGACTTTGACTGGAACTGGGTACAAAGGACTCTTGCCAGTGGACCATGAGAGGGTACCACAGTACTTTGGATTAACTCGAGATCCTGCACAGTGACACAGCTGACGGTGCCAGCAGCCTGCAATACAGACGTGTGCTCTTTTCCTGATTTACGGTACCCGGAGTTGGGACAGTGGGAGGAGGGAGCGCTGTGTGGGTGTAGGTGTATACCCTAAAGGACTTTGACATTTTAGTTGTGGCGTTAGGCCTGAATAGCATTAAATAAACATTTTGTTTCCTTTTCACAAATCTCTGGCTTTAAGAGATGTCTTTCCAATTGGCGGCGGACAGAAGGGCCCAGTAGATTTTAGTATTTTGTTTTTGGGAGGGGTCCCTGTTGTATAGCAGTTTTGGGCATCCCTAGGTGGGCCAAATATTGTATTGCCCCTCCCTCGGACCTCCTCTTGTTCGGTAACATGATCATTGCGGCCACTGGGGCAGGCATGCTATTGAGGCTGCATTGCCACTAAGAAATTATTTTTTTAATCATATTTGCCGATATTTAATATACCTTCCCAGACACATTTCCTATCACATACCCTCAACAATTCACAGAATGTGCCCCAGAATCATAGAATAATTTCTCAATGTTTCCTTAATATGCATCTTTGCTTTTGCAAATGCTGTCCCCTCTGGTGGAATGTCCTTCCTAGCAAATTCGTACAATCTTTCAGAACCCCAGGTAAATGTCATTTCTCAAGGTCTCCCCACTTGCCCTTTTCTGTGCTCCGTGCTTCTTCTTAGAACATGAGCATTCTTCACCTGTGGGCTGCCTTCTGCTAGATTGAGAGCGCCTATAACACAGGAGCCCCAAACCAGGGAGCCACTTAAGTGTTCATGATGTTCCAAGAAAAATGATTTGATAGACTAGCTGATGAAACATGCTGTTTATTACTCACATTACAGTGGAATGTACTGACTGGTGGGTCAGTGCAAGAGAGACTGCACCTCCTCCAGTCTGAGGCTCATTATAAGGTGTCCTAGAAAAAGGCAGCACAGGTCCAGGTTGCACAAACCTGTGTGGCCCAAAGTTACACTGCATCAGTGGGGAGGTGCAGAAGAAAAAGGTCAAGGAGCAATCACAGGGCAAGAAGTCGCTCCCAAAAGGAGATAAGGAGGGAGTTTATGATCCATCCCCCAAACAATACATATTTCTTTTGGCCAGGGACCCCCTGGCCAGTCCTCATCATGGATAGTGGGAGAGCCATGTATTGATCCCACACTGCTTAAGGGCAGAACTGTGTCTTATTTATCTTTGCTTTTCCTGCCACCAGCATATTGTCTGGGACTCCAGCTGGGGCACAGAGACAAGCAGAGGTGGAGTAGCATCTCACCTGAATCTGATGTTGGTGCTCTCAGGAACAATCACCTCTTCACAGATCTTCTCCAGTGGAGGCATCCAGCTTGTGGCCAGATGGCAGTTTTGTAAGACCACCCAGGTGCCTTCTCTGATGGCAGTGTTGATCATTTTGGCTGCAATAGGGCCTTGGCCTTGGCCAAGGGATATGATCTGTGTTTTGGCACCTCCCATGCCAAGATCTTCAGCAAACTTAAGCAAGCCTGAGACCAGAAAGAAAAGGATCTTTTAAAAGAGAACAAGACAGGTAAGACCACATTAACAATAACATCACAAAAGGAGGGGTTACATTAAAATTCTGGACTGAGAAAGAAACTCACTGGCTTCTGTTAATTACAAAATAAGCAAGTCTCTGGGGAAGTTTTAGACTTCTAGTAAGATGGAGAATGCAGATACTATTGATTCCTCTTTTGCTCTGAATGCACAGACATTCTTGATTTAAAAAAATTCACAAACTGAAAAAAAAAATAGTTTAAAAGAACAAGAAATTCCCATGTGCCAAAAATAAAGAGGGAAGTCAAAACTAGAGAGGTGAGCTCAGAACCAAAGAATTGGGGACTGGGTTTTTTAGAAATTTATTTTACTAGGAAAAAGAATGTTTCTACAGTGAAATTTCAAGCAAGTCTCTTTTACTTTTCTCTTCCTCAGAGGCAGCAATGTTACTAGGTTTTGTCAATCCTACCAGAAATATTTTATGCATTTAAATCATGCATACATGCTCTTGTACTTACATGAATTGTAGAATACTACATTTACTTTTTTTAAGTTAGAATTTTCCACATCAGTACATTTGTAAAGGCCTTATTCTTTTTCATGGTTACATAGTATTTCCCCATTGGTAAAATACCATATGTTATTTAACCAGTTTGAAGGTTGGAGTTTGTCTATGGGAGATGGGTATAACAACTTTGCACTCAAAAGAGATGGGATTCTGGAACTAAGACTTTTTAAAAATAAAGTTAGGATTCTCAAAGGACTGCACCTTTATGTTGAGAAGGCCAGAAATCTGGTCACTGACTCAAGAAGTAATGTGAAAGCTTATCCATCCTGGATGAAAAGCTTGTAGCCCGAATGGAAAAAAATTGAAAATTCTCCAGTGAGAAATCAATACCCAGCTTATGCCAAATGCAATGAGGGGTACAGCTTTACTTGTGTAAAGTAAACTGAGAACTTTCCCTTATAAAACTGATCCAGAACTTGAAACCCTTGGGGCACTGTTGTTTGCATATGTAAAATTGTTCTGTTAAGGCACTCCTAAACCTAAAGTATTTGACATTCTCACAAAATAACACAAGCTTTCTGATTGTCAATTCACAATAAAAAATTATCAAGTAAATGAGAAAATACATCACTATTAGGGATAGTCAGCACATACAACAAACAAGAGGACCCAAAGATTACATATGGTCTCTGTTGTGGGCTGAACTCTGATCCCTCCAAATCTATATCTTGAGGTCCTAATTCCCAGGACCTCAGAATGTGACTGTATTTGTACATAGGGTCTTTAAAGAGGTAGTTAATGAGGTCATTAGGGTATGTTCTCATTCAGTATGACTGGTGTCCTTATAAGAAAAGGAGATTAGGACACTCACTGAGACTATGTGAAAACACAGAAAGAAGCTAGCCATGAACAAGCCAATGAGAGAGGCCTCAGAAGAAATCAACCCTGCCAACACCTTAAATTTGTACTTCTAATCTCTGGAATTGGGAGAAAATACATTTTTGTTATTTAAGCCACCAGTCTTTGTTATTTGTTGTGGAAGCTCTAGCAGATTAATATAGCCTCTGAAAAAGAGCATAAAAAACACATCTGAAAAATCATTAAAGAAGGAACATAGAGGTGATAAAATTCAGAGTACTATGAAAAAAATACATGGATTTAAGGTAAAACAAAACTTTGAGAACTGAAAAACATTGTTATTGAAGCCAAAAGCTCAAAGCACTGATTGATGAAAACAGCAGGTTAGACACAGACAAAGAGAAAATCAGTGGCCCTGGCCAGTGTGGCTCAGTTGGTAGTATGTCATCCTTTAAACAGAAAAGTTGCGGGTTTGGTCCCTGGTCAGGGCACATGGCTAGGTTGTGGCTTCAGTCCCCAAATGAGATGTGTATGAGAGTTAACTGAGATCAATATTTCTCTTTTGCATATGTTTCTTTGTCTCTTTCTCCCTTCCTTCCCCTCTCTAAAATCAATAAGCATGTTCTCAGGTGAGGATAAAAAAGAGAATCAGTACAGTCTGACAATAAGGATCCATCCAGTACTAATGGGCACCCCAGCACCCTGGTAGTGGCCTCCAAATACCATGTGCTGCTAAGAGAACTGGAGTTCCTTGAAGAAATGTTTGTACAAGGTGAGCCTGGAATATATGGACTCTCTATACCAAGGAAGCTATCAAAAATTAAAAACTATTGGGGTTATACAAAAAGGATATAGGCATGAAGGTGTTCCCACAGGCCAGTGATTGAATAATTTGAACATCAAAAAGAACACTGATGGCAGTAGATTAAAATACCACCATATTTGAAACATCTGGTCTGTTAAAATTCATGCATTCACAATGGAACCAAAAAATATCTTATTGCCTAACTAACTTTGGAAGTTAATAGGGCTCAAACTCATTCAGACAGCTGAGAGATAAAGAAAATGAACCAAGAATCTTTTCAGCTTGTTCTTTTCAAAGTATATTCAGAATTGACAAAGAAAAATTCTTTTTTTAAAATTCTTTATAGGAGAGTTTCAGCTAATAAATGTGGAAAGAATGATAGGATTAAAATAACACCATTTTGCATTCTCTAATGAAATAATGGATCTAGGTAATGATTTTCTAAGGCCGCTAAAACCATTAGGTCAGTTGTTCCAATATTGGATGCACATTGGAATTACCTGAAAAACTTTATAGAACACAATGCCTGGGCCTTACAAAGATTTTAATTTAATTGGTCAAGTGGGTGATCTAGGCATGGAGATTTTTCTTTAAACTCCCCAGGTGATTCCCATGTGAAGCAAAGATTGAGAACTGTTACATTAAGTGAAAGGCTGATGGGAAACTTTATTAGGGAGGTGATGGAGGAGTCAGGAGTTGGGTCAGGTGGACAATGCTTGGATCCACTGATCTATCTTAATCAGAAAAAATAAGGACAACCAGACAGTGCATCCCTCCTGACCTGTGGAGTTTCCTGAGAATTTATTCATGCTGAATCTGATTGAGCCTCTAGTACAGGGGAAAGGAATACGCTATTGTTCACCTCTGGATGTGTGTCCTGTCCTCTGCCAGCACACCATCAATTCACAGACAAAATTCTGACCTTTTTCCCATTTGTATTCTTTACCTTTCCTGGTTTTTGCTACTTTCTCTTACTTAAATCTGCCACCTAAAGGACATATAGAAAAAAAAAGCAAAGGTACAACATAGGGGTTCTAAATTGATCTTTGGCAATAACATTTTGGCATAGGAACCTGGAAAGGGTACCAATTCATATCAGCTGCCTCCTATGACTTCCTTTTAGGGGCAGGGTGCTGGCTTTCTATCTGGGCCAGGATATGTGTCAAACTCCTCAGCTTTCGCAGGAGAACATATAGGATATGTGTCAAACTCCTCAGCTTTCACAGGAGAACATATCAACCTTGTCATCTGCATTTCTGGTACTCTTTCTTCATTCAGCAATAGAGAAAAGTAAAGCTTTGAGATATTCCACCACAACAGAAAACTAATCTATTTCTGTCAACAACTCATACCCTTTAATAAGTATAAACAATTTCTAGAAAGATACACAAACTAGTAATAGTAGTTACATCTGGGAACATTAGGAGAAAGATGTACCTTTCACTCTGTATGAGAAGTTCCCAACCTCAGCACTACTGATGTCCTGGGCTGAATAACCCTTTGTTGTGGGGGCTGTCTTATGTATTGTGGGATGTTTAGCAACATCCTTTGCCTATATCTACTAGATGTCAGTAGTACCCCCTAGTTGTGACACCAAAAGTATTTCCCTACTTTGTCAAATGTCCCTTGAGAAGGCAAAATAGCCCTGGTTGAGCCACAATCCTATACTTTTTGGCATTATTCAATTTTTTATTATTACTCACAGCATTAATTATTCAAAAATTTAAAAATTAAAAGAAGAGAGAAGAGTAGCTGAGAGAAGTGATAGAAAAAATCATTTAAGACACAGGTGACAAACTAGCAGCCAGAATAAATCTAGCCCCAGCTTGGCCCTCATACAATTTTTTAAAATTAATTTATTTTTTAAATTATTTTTCAACTACAGGACTTCCGCCAAGATGGAGGCATAGGTGGAAGCACTGTGCCTCCTTCCACAACCAAGTTTAAAAACAACAAAGTTTTAGCAACAAAAACCACAGAAAATTGAACTTCACGGAAGTCTGACAACAACAAACCCTTCAGCCAAACCGGTAAGAAGCCAGCAGCAGAGCAGGGTTGGGCAGGAAAGATCCAACGGACCGACCCAGGCACGTGACCCAGGTGCGCCAGCAGCTGTAGGTGGATACCAGGTGTGGAGAAGCGGGTGGACCCACTGAGGGCGCAAGGCGGTGGACTCACTGAAGGCTGACCATGGTCACACATTTGCACGCAGATAAACCAGTGAAGGAGGGAGGGATGAGACAGACCTTGCAGGGCCCAGTGGCAGGAAGCGGCAGAGGGGACCGCCATTGTCCCTCTCTGACCCCGCCCCCACACACAGCATCACAAACCAGAGACCTGGGTGGCTTCTCTCTGACCCACCCCCACATACAGAGTCACAAACCAGTGACCTGGGTGGCCCTGCCCTGGTGAACAACTAAGGCTCCGCTCCTCATACATAATAGGCACAAACAGATCAAAACATGGCTCAAGAAGAACTTAGAGCCCCAGAGCCAATAAATCTAAGCAATGAAGAAATAGCCAAACTTTCAGATGCACAGTTCAAAACACTGGTGATCAGGATGCTCACAGAACTGGTTGATTTTAGTCACAAATTAGAGGAACATATGAAGGCTAAACTAATTGAAATGAATGGAAATGCACAGGAAACCAATAGTAATGGAAAGGAAACTGGGACTCAAATCAAAGGAGTGGACCAGAAGGAGGAAAAAAAATGACCAAACAGAAAAGAATGTAGAAACAAGAATTCAAAAAAATGAGGAGAGGCTTAGGAACCTTCAGGACATCTTTAAACGTTCCAACATCAGAATTATAGGGGTACCAGAAAAGGAAGAGGAACAGTCACGAGTGGAAACCTTATTTGAACAAATAATAAAAGAGAACTTCCCCGTTCTGGCAGAGGAAATCCAGGAAGCTCAGAGAGTCCCAAAGAAGTTGGACCCAAGAAGGAACACACCAAGGCACATCATCATTACATTAGCCAAGATTAAAATGAAGGAGAGAATCCCAGAAGCAGCAAGAGATAAGGGAACAGTCACCTACATGGAGTTCCCATCAGACTGTCAGCTGATTTCTCAAAAGAGACCTTACAGGCAAGAAGGGGCTGGAAAGAAGTATTCCAAGTCATGAAATCCAAAGACCTACATCCAAAATTGCTCTATCCAGCAAAACTTTCATTTAGAATGGAAGAACAGATAAAGTGCTTTTCAGATAAGACCAAATTCAAGAAGTTCATCATCACCAAGCCCTTATTATATGAAATGTTAAAGAGACTTACCTAAGAAAAAGAATATAAAAAAGTTGAACAGTGAAAGGACAGCAAACTCACAGTTATTAACAACCACACCTTAAACAAAAGCAAACTAAGAGGATAGCTAGATCAGGAGCAGAACCATAGAAATGAAGATCACATGGAGGGTTAGCAACAGGGGAGTGGGAGAAGGAGAAGGGGGGAGAAGGTACAGAAAATAAGTAGCATACATGGTAGGTAGAAAATAGGGGGAGGGCAAGAATAGTAGGGGAGATATAGAATCTAAAGAACTTGAAACACGTCATAAACTAAAGGGGGGAATAGTGGGGGAGGGGGTGTGCAGGGTGGAGGGGAATGAAGGGGGGAATAGAACAACTGTAATGGCATCATCAATAAAACATATTTAAAAAAATTATTTTTCAACTACAGTATTCTGTCTTTTACTCCCATCCCAGCCCCGCCTCCGTGCCCCCCACCTCCCTCCCCTTTTCACTCCCCTTAGTTGTTGTCCTTGTGTCCTTTTTGCTAGTTCCTGTAAATCCTTCCCCCTTTTCCCCTGAAATTCCCTCCCCTCTCCCCTCCGGTCGCTGTCCCCCTGTTCTCAATTTGCCCTCATACAATTTTTAAGAAAAAATATGAATGAATTATCAAGATGTAAAAATGGGTGATTTCTGTATTTCTTGTCTCTCTTGAAAAATTAGATGATATTGCTCACAGATGATGTCAAAATCATGGGCATTGACTGGCAGTTGACCCAATTTGGTGAGAAAAAAGTCTTTAGTAGCCCAAATCCATCTTGGCCTATTAACTGCTCAGCTTTCAAAGTCATCTGAATTAGAGACTCCTGCTACAAGGGACATGCTATTTGTCATTCATTCATGTTCTGGGCTCTTTATGTCCTTCGCACAACATTTTGACCCTTACCTGCCATTGGATCTGCACCAGGAGACAACACAAAAATCAGTGGTGTACAACAACTGGAGTCATTGTAGGAACCCTGGAGGTCAAATGTAGGGGCTTCAATGTACATGTTGCCCATGTGCTCAGCAATAAACTCTCGAATGGCTGGAATCATCTTGTCAGGCCGCAAACATCGGAGGATCACCATCCTCTCCAACCCCTGAAGGAAGTTCCAAGATCCAGGGAACTTCTCTTCATGAGGCCAGACTGAATCATAGATGAGCTTCCATTCATTAGCATTTTGTTCAAAATGTTCCATCAAGCCTTTCAGTTTTGGTAACGTGGATGCACGAACCACTTCTGCCCATGCCTTTTCAGACAGCCATTCAGTAACTGGATTGGGGAAGGGGTTGTCCAGGGCAATGCCCCCAGTTAGAAGAAAGTACCAAACTTCTTCATTAATTTGTTTTTTCTCTTTCAAGATGCCAATGGTCAAAAGGAGGGAGAAAAGCAGCTTGTCCTTCTCAAATAGAGAGCGGCAGACATTGTTGTAGATACTGAAGGTGAAATACTCAATGATGTACTCAATGCGCAGCTCCAGCTCTTCACTCTTCCTGCTGTGGGCCAAGGAGTGCACATAGAGGTTTATGAACCATGTCAGGGAGTACTGGTACATTGGTTCAATGTTGGCCAGGTCAGAGATACAAAAGAAGATTGTGGCAGAGTGGATAGCCACTGGCTTGTAGCCCATCCGAGTCTCATCAATCTGTGTTTCTGTCACTGACGCAACTTCTTGTTTCTCAGAGATTTCTTCAGACAGTTCTTTGGAGGAGGACAAAACTTTGACGGCCGTCTCATCCTCAAGGATGTTGCCCTCTGACAAGGAGAGGACCTCCAAGATCTTATCTTCAATTTCTTTTAGCTGCTTCTTGTTCTGGGCACTTTCTACAATCAACTTGTTCTTTTTTTCTTCCAGTTCTGGCTTCTCCTTGGCAGCTACGATACCAAGGAGTTGATCTTGGAGACCTAAGGGAGTGATCATGAAGTTGAGGAGGCAGACTTTCACAGCGACTTCAGGGATATAATGTGGGTTTCTCAACCGGGTGGTGATGTATAACTTAAAATCCTTGGAATATTCAATGATGTTTTCTCCTAGTCTCATGTACTCAACCCCTTGCTGTTTGAATGTGGACTTGAGCAAGATGGGTTCAATAAAGGCATCCAGCTCTTCTCCAACGTTTTCTAGTAAAACAGGGGTGCCAAACTGCAGAGCATTTTCCAGCGTTCTCACATAGTTGGCATCGGAGAACCTAGTGACCGACAGACTATTCACTTTCTCCATGTTCTTGATCCACTTATTGGCCTGCCCCTGGGGGTCAATTATCAAGGTCCAGCGTCTGGAATTGGACACAATGATGCCATTGTCAATGGAGAAGGAGTCAACTGGCAGCCCAGCGATCTTCCAGGCACGGATTTTTATGGGATCCCCTAATGTGTTGCTGAGACTGAAGTCACTGGAGCTGGGGATGTGCTTATCATTACATTGGGCCAACCATTTCTTTTGGCACTTGGCCCGATAATCCACGGTAAAGGCCCCCAGGTAAGCCACGGTCCCTGAAGACAATAACATATCTCCTGTCAGATTATTGTAGCGGACCCCCAGCTGCCGGGCTGCTTCTGTCCATCGGTCCTTTTCTCCTCCAAGACCACTGATCAATTTTTCTGCCCTGATCAGCTTTTGGGAGCAGATATCGATGTTTTTTTCCAAGGTCTTTTTCTTGGTATTCATCTCTTCAAAGTCATCATTCAGGGCCTGGAGGCGGTCTTCTGCCAGCTTCAGCTCTGCCTGTTTCTGGTTCAGTTTCTGCATCTGTGTGTCCAGCTTGCCCTCAGCTTCCTTCAGCCGCTCCCGCTTCGGGGCTACTACTTTGGCCACGCGGTCATACACTTCCATGGCCCTCACCCACTTACACAGACCCTCACAGGCAGATGAAACATTTTTAATGGCAGCTGGCTGGAAATCTGGGTGGTCAATAAATCTCTCTCGGATCCGTTTCATGATCACTAGGGGGATGTTGTCTTTGTCATATGCCTTAAGACTCTCCAAGAATTTCAGATCTCCAAGAATCTTTCTTGATACTCCCCAGTAATCTTCTATCATTTTACCTGTTTGGGATGAGAAACAGAGATAAGACTCTTATTAAGACTTTCTGGTTGAGACTTAAAGGCTTGCAGTGACTAGTCCTCAGATCTGGCTAAAAAAAAAAAAAATCTAACTCCTACAGAGGACTTTAAGGGCAGAGAACATACTCTGTATAATACTGTAATGATAGACATATGTCATATATTTCTCCAAATCCACAGAATGTACAACACCAAGAACAGGATGTCATATAAATGTGGACTTTGGGTGATTATAATGTGTTAGTGTGCATTCAACAATTATAACAAATATACCACTGTGATGGGGGATATTGGTAATGGGGGAGTTGTGCATGTGTAAGGACAGGGGAATATGGGACATCTCTCTCATGTGAACCTAAAGCTGCTTTAAGAATATAAAATATAAATTAAAAAAAGAAAAGTCTGAACTCCTCACCATGGTTTGGGAGGCCTACCGACCTTACCCAACTCCTCTTTGCCTGCATGCTGGACTTCAGTCATGAAGGACCTTCCTTCAACTCCTGTATGATCCCAAGTGCTTCCTTACCATGAGCTGGAAATGGCATATCACTGGCTCCTTACCAGAGTTTAGGCTCATTTTTAAAGCTACCCCTCCACAGAGAGGTTTTCCTAGATGTCCCTCACTAAGGTGGGCCCCTGTATAGCTCCCCCAACATTTGTTCCATCTCGACTGCCAAAACATCCATTCCCTTTATAGCATTTATTGCAATCTGTGATTTTTTTGGTTTATTTTTTATTGTTGGCCTCTCCCTCAAAGCTGTGAGCTCCTGTTGTGTTTACTATACTTTGGCATAGTAAATGAAATTCAGTTATCAATAAGTATGTGTTGAATGAATGTTGGCTCTTATCCCAGTCGTAGATGGAGAAGGCAAAGGAGCTATGGGCAAGTATTTTGAATTTTTTTAAAATAGTGATGTGTGAGAGATACAATGATCAGTTGCTTCTAGCAACAAGAAACAAGTACTTGAGATATAATAAGTAAAACAGGCCAAAAATGTCCTGTTCCTAATGCAAGCACAGAAGTCAAACAAATATTTCCCATGAGGGTGTTTGTTTACCTTCAGGAAAATAATCTGCTTCATTTAAATTCAAGATGCCCAAAACAAATCAATTGCTCTTTTGTTGCATCCCAATATCCTGGCTAAATTCTGCAGGTTAAGTGAAAAATATACACACTTTGCTTGACTTTTGAACTAGAAAGGCAAATGATGGGTCCTTTGAGGATTATCAATGAACCAAGCAGAGAACTAACTCTTGGGATCTGGTCGTGATTTGTGTACCATTTTTCAACCCTGGCTGCATCTTCGAACAATCTAGGTGTTTTAAAAAAGACTAATTAATGCTCAGAAATGTCCCAGACCAATGGAATAAGGATCTCTAGGAGAGGGAGGCAGAGAACATGGGGATTCAGAATTCTTTATGCTCCCAAGTGATTGTAGGTATGGCCAGAGTAGAGAAGTGATGGGTGGCTCACCCCTGCTGAGACCCACTTAACACACCTCAGCTACTCCTGTGAAGGATTCTCCTGTCAAGTTCACACTTTTTGTCTATTCCCAATCCATTTTGAATCTTCTTCATGTGGTTTTTGGTCTGAAAGCAGCCAGGGAGGAGGGAATTCTAACCAGTAGGAAGCGGAAGCCAAAATTCTTGTTCAATTCCAAGACACCTATCTTGATACAAGATCCTACATCTAATTCAGATTTTTAAGAAGATTGAATAGTCACCTATTAATGCTTCTAGGCTCAATTACATAAGGACCTTTCCTCCCTCCTCTATTCCCTTCTTCCCCAAAATCTTGTCTCCCTTCTCCCACCCCCATTCTGCCTCTGCCTCCCTCTGCTTCACCTCTCTCCCATGACTTATTCTCTACTAGCTTATTCTCTACTACCTCACCTCTCTTTCTCTCTGGTGTATCTTTAGCTCTGTCTTTCTCTTCTTCCCACTCACTTTATGTTTGTGTATCTCTATGTCTTTGTATCTCTTGGTCTGTCTCCCTTTCTCTCTCACTGTCAGCCTTTGTGTCTCTGTTTTTGTCTGTTTCTCTCCACACCCCTTCATATCTTTTTCCTGTTTCTCTATCACTATGTGCATAAGTCTCTCCCTTTTGATTTTTTCTCTGTGTGTGTCCCTCTGTCTCTTTCCCCTTCTCATTTATTTCTTTATCTCCTGATCTCTCTGTTCATTATATCTTTCTGTTTATGTGCATGTGTGCATGCATGCATGCATGTCTGCCTGCAATGCATGTGCATGCACACACATGAATATATCCATGCATGTGCGTGTCTGTTCACATGTCTATGTACATGTATGTGTCTATGTGCGTGCACAAGTGTGTATGCATATAGGTGTCTGGGTCTCCATTTCCTTCTCAGTATAAGTGTCTGTTGCTCTTTCTTTGTCTCATTCTTTCTTTCTCTGGTTATCTCTCTGTTTGTCCATTTTTCTCTAGCTATTTCTATTTCTCTCACTCTGACCCACACGCTACTCTTTGTGTGCTTCCTCTACATCAGCCCCTTTGTTTCCATGACCTTCATTTTAGTAATGATTTGTAGGCAGGGGCCTTGACTCAGATACCTGCATTTTCCTGAACTATTGAGAGGAGAGGAGATGGCGAAGAAACTCAAGAGAGCTCTTTGGTCCTCATGCACATCCTGGTGCCTTTCTCATTTTCTCTAAGATTCCTGGGATTGCCTGCAGGCCTAGAGTGCGGTGGAGGTCAGGGACATGGGCACCCTTCCTGCCAGGGAAGAGCAGCCATGTAGTCCTCTGGGGGGTGGGGCTGAAGGGGATTACCACTGCCACTGGGGTCCGGCTTCCTCTCTGGTCTCAGCCCTTTCATGACACAGATGCTCTCCATGACCAGCTTGACAGGGCCTGGGGGGTTCTGCATTGATTTCACCAGTGAGATGTCCGCAGGGTTCAGGGTATCAAGTGCAGCCAGTGCAGCCTCCAATGCTGGCATTGCCTCTGCCAGGTCCCCCTCACATTCATTCTGTGGGCAGCAAAGAGACAAAAGGGGTGAATGCCAGTGCCTGGAGAAAGCTGGGGAAGTGGGCAGAGGCATCATCCTCATGTTCATTCTTCCAGGAAGCTGCCCCAACTTGGAGCTCTGTGCACAGGAAGGCCTGAAAGACCCTTGGGGGCTGCAGCTTGGATGTCTTGGACATTTAAGAATTTACCTGGTTTGTGATCTTAAAAGAAATAATCAAGTCCTTGTTTTCTAAAACTAATTCCCAAGAGATATATGCAATAGGTGACTTCACACCCATTGATCAAGGATATGGGTTAAGAGATGAAGAATGAAGCTTAAGGTGAGTGACAAATGGGAAAAGAATCAGGGCAAGTTTAGGGAAGAATAAGGTGTGAGGAATAGGGGGAGGTCAGAGATGGGGTGAGAGTCCAAATGTATTGCAGTTCAATGATAGGAAAGGATAGAGTCAAGGATGGGGTGAAGCTTGGGGATAGGGTAGAATTTAAGGCTCTAGGCCTTAAAGTTTAAGAATGACGAACAGGGATAGAGATTGGAGCTGGGTAGTAAAATCTAGGAGGAGACGGTATATGTTGTTTCCATTATTCATTTAAAAATAAAATGAACACAATAAAATATTATTCAGCTACAAAAATGTACTGATTTATGTATTAATACAGATAAGCCTTGAAAGCATTATGCTAAGTGGCAGAAGCCACACTCAAAATTTCACCTGCCACATGACTTCATTTACATGAGATATGCAGGAAAAAAATCCCATGAAAGCACAAAGAAGGGTAGTAGTTGCTAGAGGCTGGGGAGAGGGAGGGGTTGGGAGTGACTGCTGAAGGGTTTCTTTTTGGGGTGATGAAAATGTTCTAGAATTATATAATACTGATAGTTATAC